CTACACTCCCAATGTGTTGCCAACAAATCCGAAGAAACAGAGGCGTCCGAGGGATCCTTACACTCCTGGGTCTTAGTTTGTTAGGTCAAACGAATATTGCCATCCGAAACTTGCGTGGTTATTTGGTTATGTTATCTCAAACTTATGTCAAAACAATGAATATGTTATGTGGCAGCTTGTCAACTTGCTTCTTATTCGTTTCTTTGAATCGCGGCAGCACTGCCGGCGAGATTAAGTACCAACTAGTTCGGGAACCGACAGTCCCGGTGATAATTTTTCGTAATCGATTAGTTTAAATGGTGCATAACCGTATTATGAAAGACGAAAAACTTATCATTGGCTTATCAAATTCTTTATTCGGCCGTGAAAAAAACTCAACAAAATACGTGCGCGACGCGTTTCGATTCAACCATCTAGGTACTCAAAATGCGGCGGCGGCAATGCAATGGTGTGTGGTGTGCGCGGGCGGTATATATATGGTCCTGCCGCGCCACGTATCAGGGCGCGGCACTGCCGTGCCAAGGTCTGTGGCGCAGCAGGAGCTACCACGTTAGTGGTCCCCCAAGCCGGCCCTCGCCACGTCAGCCCTCTGTCGCGCCACCATGCATGGCGCGGCACAGGCATTTGGCCGTGCCAGGGCAATAGGCGCGGCTAAAAGTGTTAGTTTAAAAAAAAAACCCGACAATGTTAGATTTAAAATTATATTAAAAAAAGAGTTAAAATTAAAAAAAAAATCGCTAATTACATGTTTCTGCAGTGTCCTTCCACAAAATTTGCCTAAATGTTAATAATCTTAGAGCATCTTCAAGAGTACCCCATATTTTATTCCTCAAAACATGGTATTTGCTAACTCCCAGATAAGTATGGAAAGAAAAAAAAAGAGACCATCTTTAAGAGTACCTCTTATTTGACTTTCAAAATATCAAATTTTTAGACCCACGTGCAATTTTGGGTCGCGGCATTTTCTTCGCGGGAGATCGGAACCACAGGTTCAATCTACGTCGCCGCCGGTTCCTGCACACTTGTTCCGATCTACAGCTTGCCCCAGCCGGCGGCAGCCAACCACGGTGGCCTCCCTGCTGGCTCCAACCTGCTTCCAGCCCGCCGCAGACCTCCCAGGAGGCCGCAGGATCTCCCGGCCGCCTACCAGGCACTGTAGCCCACCCAGCCTCGTGCAGTCAAGCCTAGCAGCAGGAAACAGCAGCAGAGCCTGCTGCCGGCTACCAAGAGAAGGAAAAGAAGGCGGGTCGCAGTGCCGCGCCGGAAAGAAAAGTCTGCGCGGGGAAGAGCCATGCATGCGTGAAAGGCTGCGCGTATTTTTACTGGTCTATTTACCAATTATTAAAAAATGGAAAGAGATATGAGGTACTCTTGAAAATGAGTTTTTCTTTTTTTCGTAAAAAACATGGATAGAAAAGGGATATATGGTACTCTTAGAAATGCTCTTTACATATATGGTTGGTCAAGTTACTCATTTCGTCCCAAAAGAATTGGAAATCTTTCTTTCCGAGGAGTTCAACAATAGAGTATGATTAGATTTTTAGAAAATAATATTAAGTATATTGAAATTTTTCTATCTATAATAAAAATATATTCTATAAGTAATTTAATCATATTTATTACGCATCATAAATTGTTTGTTCTTTTATTTTACTAGCAAATATGCACGTGCGACACGCACGTGTTTATCAAAAACATCATTACACAATTAATATTATGATAGAAAGACTAAATCATTAGCTTCAATGAGATTCAGACTCCATGAATTTCCATTCCTTATTTCTTAATGCATATATCAGTAAAGACGACAATGAAATTAATAGTGTCCAGAAGCTTAATTAGGATAAAAAATATGTATCTATATATATGAGCAAAGAACTCTAACCAATTAGCAATATAACGAAGATTGGATAAGAATAGAAAAGGAAATACCTAACCTTCACCAAGTGGTGCGTAATTAATTTGATGATTTAGCGATCGATCGAGAGTACACATCGCATATGCACGCACAGACACGAGCGACCAGTTGGTTGTAGCCGTGTCATAGGCCCTAAGTTCATCGTTGTACTTAGTATGTTCCATCATTAGTGGTGGATCTAGGAGTATATAATTATAAATATATCATCAAAAAAACATTTACTTTGCGAATATATCGTAACTTTTATTTTCATACTAACCATGTGTTGGTGAGTTAGATATTGAGTTCTCGGACTTCTTTGAGGACCCATATAAAAATAAAAGTCAATGAAGAGTTAGTTGTCGAAGATTGGTCTGTCCGTTGATGATTATGACATACTCCCTCCATCCTAAAAAAAGAGTTATTCTCGTTTTTCCGAGAAGTCAACTATCTTTAACTTTGACCAAATATATATAACAAAATATTAATATTTATGGTACCTAATTAGTATGATTGGATAGATCTTTAAATTTATTTTCTTAAATAAACTTATTTGGACATACAAATATTGCTAATATTTTCAACAAATCTAGTTAAACCTAAAAAAGTTTGACCAACACGAGTCTCGTAGCGACTCTTTTTATGGGACGGATGGAGTAGACCTCTCTCAATTTTCACATGGCAGCCCTCATTATTATTTATCAATGATTGCACTGATACATTTATTTTGATTAGATTCGATGACAAACTGTTTAAGATTTCAGTGCATGGTTAGACCATCGGCTGATCCAGGTTTCAATAATAATAAGTTTTATTACTAATTAAATTTATATCAACAATTAGTGATTAAAATGTTTATTTATCATGAAAGGCTTAATGGTTCAAATACGCATAATAATAAGTTTAGACGGAAACCAAAAGAAGGTAAAGGAGAAACGTAAGGACGTGGAGGGGCAACGTTCGATCGGAGAAGGATTCTGTCCGAGGCGCCTTTAATTTGCACGGGAAGCCGAGCGGACCGTATATGCACGGAAAGAAAAAGTTTCTCAAAAAAATATGGAAAGAAAAAAATCAGTATATTTGGAATAGGAGTCCCAGTTCAAAAAGTCTTGCATATCGTGAGATATATTTGAGATTGAATATGAGTCTTATATCTTACATGTAAGATCACGGATGACGGAGGACTCATATTACGCGATGTGTAGATCAAACGGTTGTTATAGAGAAAGAGTAAGATCACACATGATGGAAGGCTCATATAATACGACGTATAAATCGAACGGTTATTATAGAGGGAGAGTCACCCTCAAAAAAATTTACTTTTTTATAGTGTGATATAAGACAGAGGGGGACTGGGGGAGTATAAAAGTTGTAACTTACAATTCTAGAAGTTAAAAGTCTGTTTGGATTTCCTCCTCTAAACTTTAGAGCTAAAGCTCCAGACAAATGATTTAAAGTTAGCTTTAAACTTTAGCATACCTCACATTAGATCTTTAGCGCTCAAAAGTGAGCTAAAGTGTTCTAGAGCTTTTAGAGCTCTAAAGTTTAGAGGAGATGACTAAAACATATCCTTAATTCATTTTGGTGGCAATGAGTACTAACCATAACAGATTTCTATATTTTCCTTTCATCTTTTCATCCCAATGTCTTCCTACAATTATTGCTAGATTAGAAGATTGTTCAAACAAAGCAACATATCTGGTAATATACCAGCGTACTTAGTTCGACTCTGCTGAATATCTCGGTTAGGTGGGGAATAGGGGGGAGAGACTCGAAGAATGGCTCAAGCTAGTCTCTCCAGTGTTACGGGTAAATCTAAACAATGACAAAGACAACTTCATTTGGCAAATAAAGAAAAATGGAGTTTTTTTTCAACACAGTCGTTGTATAGAGAAATTATGAAAAGGGAGAAAATTTTGGGGAAAGAAATGTTCTGGAAAGCAAAACTGTCTCTGAAAATTAAAATTTTCCTATGGTACTTAAAAAGAGGGGTAATTTTAATAAAAGATAATTTATTAAAGAGAAGGTGGAAAGGAGATTCTAAGGCCCCGTTCGCTTCGCTGAAAAAAAAGCCGAAACACTGTTCTGGCTAATTTATTGTGAAAGAAAAACACTGTTCCGGCTGAAAAAACAAGCTGAAAAAGACGGATTATAAGAGAAGCGAACATGGCCTAAGTGTGATTTCTGCGGATTGGAAGAAAATATTCAGCACCTTTTCTTCGATTGTCGTGTGGCTAATTTGTTTGGAACACGTTGTTCGTCACCTTTAACTTTCAACCACAAAAAAACACTTCTCACATGTTTGGATCTTGGCTAAGGAGATTTGCTCCGGGGCTAAAAAGCCAAATGATAGTGGGAATGACGGCCATATGTTGAGTCTTATGGTTGAATAGAAATGATACGGTGTTTCAAAAGCTAGCTACTAATTCTTACTTGCAGGTGATTTTCAGGGAAACTTTTTGGATCAGGCAATGGTCCCTGCTGTCTAGAGGAAGAGGGAAGAATGATGCAAGAAGGATGCAGACATTTAGAAGGTGTGGCGCTACGACTCTTTGGTTTTAGGGAATGGAAGAATCTGAAGAGGATAGGAGTGTAAAGTCCTCTTGTTTCATCTTCTTTTGAAGATGGGAATTTAGTTTTTGTGGTTTGCGATTGGTGGACTTTTTGGTTTGGTTTGTTACCTTCTGTTGTAAGGTCACAGGTTATTATCAGGTCTGTCCGCCTAGTGGAGTTCTGGGCTGAGTCCCATTCTTGTATGTTTTAAGCCCTAAGCATTCACCGGTGAATACGAAGGCTGAGATGTTTTATTCCGTAATCTAAAAAAGGTAATATACTAGTCTAATCTAAGCACAGATGTTTGAAGCCCGATATTCAAACCCACCTACAACTTCTTTGTTCCTTGTACCTCGGAGCATATCCAAACGTCTCTGTGAGCATCCACACTTCCGCGGCGCACCAGTTACTGCTGCACTAGGCAGTAGCCAGCCTCAGCCTGCCGACGACTCGCCGGCGTTCGGCACCCTCGTGGCAAGCAAGCGCAGGCGCAGTACACGTAATGCCGCAACAGCAGGAGCACGAGCACCTCATCGTAGAGGGACCAGATATGCTCTCTGCGCTCCTCGGCGGCTACCTGACCGCCTACCCGCCGCCGCCTCTCCCACCCGCAACAGCAACAGCCCCCGAGCCCGAGCGCGCGTCTCCCAGCTCCCTTCCCTGCTCGCCTCAGACACGCGTCCCTCCTCGTCTCCCGACGGCGCGCGGCGGGGGCGGGGGAGGCGTTGAGCGCGTCAGCCGCCGCAGAGGGCGACGACAAGCACGAAGCGGAGCTCCAGGAGGAAGGGTTCCCGAACTGGACGGGCGGCGGCGGCGAGGAGGAAGACTACGACCACGACCCCGAAATCGGAGACATTATGGGGGTGTCTAGCCCGTTCGGCTGGGATGGCTGGCTGGGCACTCACGCGGGCACTGTTCACATGAACAATGTCTTCCAACCAGAACAGTATTTTTCTCTCACACAAACCAGCCAGCAGTACTTCATCACGAACCAGCAACAAACAAGCCGGTCCAGCCGAACAGGCTAGGCCCAAGAAGGCCCAAACCCGCGTGAGTGCCCCTGTCTTCTCTTCTCTGTTCTGACGAATGAATGGCTTTCCTCGTCTTATTCTCGGTTGAATAATGGGTCTTGAATAATTTGGTGTTTGCTTCACGCCCTGTGCTCTCGTGCAGATGGAGGATAGGATAAGAAAGAAGCGCCACAAGATCGTGCAAACGAAGACCGGCTCTCCAAACCCCATGAAGGTCGTCTTCAACAAGTAAATGTGCTTCTCTGATGCTGCCATATATGTGTACAAAATCCAGTTAGCTAGGTAGGACTAGTTTATACTGTGCACTTCGAACTGATGATTGTACAAATTTTCATTTACAGAACTGGCCTCCTAAATGTAACTTTCAGTGTCAAATTCTTTTACAATATTTTAGATAATGGAATAGAAGTATCCCAGCCTCCACTTCAGGTGATTCTTTAGCAGTTCCTTATTACAATAGCTGCACTTGCACAAAAGCAAGCTCATAGCTCATCAGAACAGAAGAGCAAAATAGTGACCCGCACCCAACACCTTTATCATAGTCTATGTGTAAACCTCCATCCTTGACCAGCAAAAACCTATATTGTGGTGTATATTGTTAATCGTGATCTTGTGAAAACACTTTTCAGCACGAGACCAACATCCTATGCGATGTTGGATCAACTATTAGTGAAAACTCAGAGTTTGGATCTCGAGTCCCTTATAATGGTCAACAAAGAAGTAAAACTATTGACAACCATTTGGAGATTTTTCTTAATTGCTTAATGGAGTTTTGGTTGTTTCCTGTTCTAGATTTGACTTCTCCAATTCATATATATGGTTCGAGTTCTACAATGCTCTGTTGCCAAAAGATGTTACATTAATTTCTGATGTGAGTTCTTTCTCTTTATTTTTCCCTCAACAGGAAGTATTTACCACACTTATAAAGGAAGCATGTATCAAATCTATACACATGTTTGCTCAGGATGTTGCATCTTCCCTTTTATTGTGCTTGCAGTCTCTGCGATCATGGCATATAGTAGGCCGTCTTGGTGGTTGCAATTCTATGAATATGCAGGTATAATGGTCGGACACATTTACACTTTTTGAATGTCATTTTGGACAATCTTTTTTATTTTCTTTTTCATGTCCTTCAAATATAGTAAGAAAACAAAGTGGATGAGTTGATACTAGTCAGGGTAACATAATCCTTCTCCTGACCTCCATTCTTTTCTTCAAAATGTTGGTAACTTATCAAACTTCTATGTTTTGCACTAAATGACTTCAAAAGTACTCAATCCATCCGAAATTGTAAGACGTTTGGCTTTTTTGACACCAAGTTTGACCACTTGTCTTATTCAAAAATTTATGTAAAATATCACTTCTTTCGTCGTGGTATGGTTTATTAATAAAAATTCTTCAAGAATGACTTAAATTTGACTATATTTGCATACATTTTTTGAATAAGACGAGTGGTCAAACTTGGGACAAAAAAAATCAAACGTCTTACAATTTGAGATGGAGGGAGTACTTGTTTATTTTTGCAGTTATCGCAGTTGCCTTTAGATTGTAAAAGGCCGACTTATGATGCTCTTGAAGGAGCTAATGTCACTCCGACATCCTTTTACAACATTGGTGATCTTGAGATTCAAGATAATCTAGCATGAGTATGGTGTGTAATATTTCTCTTCTAAGCCGGCTTTACAAAATGTAGACTGTAACTGTGAGACCCTGCTAATGGGCCAAGTTGGGCCGGTCTGGTGGGCTGGGCCGAATTACCGAGTCCTGTAGCAACAAGGCGATGCGATGCACTGTAGCATCACGGAATACTGTAGCTCGGGAAATTTAGTCCCAAGTCGGAACCTGAACGGATACCGAACCAACTTAAAAGTCTCGGTCTGGGAAGCAGTTAATTTCGGTTCGAACTTTTTGCGTGAAGCGAAGATGAAAGCGCAAGAGAGTTAATTAGCAGGCGTGGTTCATTCAACGTATAGAGTGGATTTTAGCCGTCTTCTCGAACTGGGACGTTACAAATGGTATCAGAGCCAATTCTCGCGGTTTTACGGACATATGGCTCGGGAGCTCGGACAGGTTGCGTTTGGCACTTGGGTCGGGGAGCTGGAAACATGGACATGGCCAAAAGAATCGATCCTGGACATTTGTCCCGTTTGGATAGGTTGGTTCAGCCCTCGAGTCCTCAAGGGTGGGTATATGTGAGACCCGCTAATGGCCAAGTTGGGCCGGTCCGGTGGGCTGGGCCGAATTACCGAGTCCGGTGATGCGAGGTACTGTAGCATCGCCGAACACTGTAGCTCAGACAGTTTAGTCCCCCATCGGAACCTGAACGATACCGAACCAACTTAAAAGTCTCGGTCCGGGAAGCAGTTAACTCTGGTTTGAACTTTTTGCGCGAAGCAAGAACGAAAGCGCAAGAGAGTTAATTAGCAGGCGTGGTCTATTCAACGTGTAGAGTGGATCTTAGCCGTCTTTCCGGGCTATGGCGTTACAGTAACCTTTTTATGTTGTCATGTGAATATTGAACTAAAGTGTTATCCATTTCCCACTCCTCTAATTCTTGATTACTATCATCTGTTGTCGCATCATTCTGGATTACAGACACTAACTGTTTGTGTTATCAAGCTTATGAAAAATACCATAAATATGGAAAGACCATTCACAACATAAGTTCCATCGATGTGGGTTTAATCATGATAAACCATTTTTAGGCGACTTATGAATTTTGTGGTGCAATAAGCCTGCTAGACCACTTTGACTGAAAAAATACTGACTCCTTTTAATACTATAGACACTGCAATTCTATGGTTTTCTAGAAAGCTGTAGCTCTCCCCGTGAAATTGTACCTTTTTGCACCATGCACTGAAACACCGTGATACCTTTCAAACAAATATTTATTCCAAAGAAAATATGCAAATGCGTACATTTTCAATTTGTAATCACATTGATTTAGCCCATAACCCTTTATTTTCATATTATTAACTTGCACAGGGTAGACATTGGTATTCATGAGCCATTGCTTCTGGACATCCTGCTTAATGCCTTAACAACAATAAGCTCAGAGTAAGAGCCAGACTTTTGATTTTTGAATTGTCAATATTTTGGTAATTTATTTACTGTGTATAATGTTATTTCTGCTCATCAGGGTCTGGTCTCTAACATATGGTGCACATGTATATTTATATCTTGTTCTGTTTTTCTGTTTGGTGCCCCTAAAAATTAAAAGTGTGTGATGTGGCACAGCTTGATTCCACTGCAACCTGTCCCACAGGAATGCAGTATGTTTTGTGAACTGCCATGTTTGTGAGCCCTGTAGTCCACATTATACACTTCTCTTCTTTTTATAGGAGGACAAACAAACTGACAGCCTGTTCGTTTGGCGGTGGCTTGTCGTAAACAATCGTAAATTTTCAGCTGGAATAGTATTTCTCTCTCACACAAATCAGTCAGCAGTACTTTTTCACGAACCAGCAACGATATGAACCAGCCAACCGAACAGGCTGTGAACCTTTTATTTTATCTGAAGGGAAGTAGTAACTACTGATTTGGAATGCAATTCTTGCTAGAAAGATGTTCCTGTAGTAGGGCAAGATTGGGCTGTCGGGTTTGGCACACCATTAGGGAGGAAAACATATTTTTTATTGCCTCATCATAACTCAATATACCATTGTTACTCATGAAAAATAATATTCCAGCTGCCTCTTAATGCCTCATTTTTTTCAGATTAATTGTGTGTGTGTGGGTGGTGGTGGTGGTGGTGGGTTCTTCCAAGCTCACACTGCTTAGTGCTTACTGTATTTGGTCATGTTATGAAGAATTTGTTACCATATTCCTGTGTGGAACAATGTAATCTCATCCGTTTTCTGTTTCATTTTCTACAGTCATGTTGGTATTAAACAAGTACAGTTTGGAGGGTTAGAGTTTTTGAACTGGAGTGAAGACTTGAAAACAGAAGAAGTTGGATATAGTGTGTGCAAAATCTAAAATAGCACAATCCTGAGATTTGCAGAAGCAGCTACCATTTTAGCTAAAACGCAAATACAGCATCTGGTTCAAACAAAGGGTTTCAACCACCTTGATGGTGCAAATGAGAAGAAAAATGGTGACAACACGATGAAAAGTTGACGTCCAAACATATTAACTTCTGCTTGAAAAGAGGTTGCCGTCTTTTCAGGACTCTTCTAGCTACACATCATTGGTAATCCTTTTGGATACATGTAATATACCTAGGTCCTCTGATGTCCAACGTGTGCATTGTTACTCCACAATCTGACACTAGCAGGTCCGGAGAAAACTTATAAAATTATGTTTTCTTAGTGGTAGTGATCATCACGAACCATGATTGAACAATTGCTGAATGTACCTTTTTGGAGGAATTTCTGTTCTTGCTTAATGTTAGTGGCATGTTTCATCCTACCCCATTTTTAAACGAATGTATATTTTGAACTAACTAGCCTGTACTAAACATGATAAGTACTGACCTATTTCAGTACGGGTGTTGGCCGATCTTCACGACAGCAGGTCACGATCAAGATAACTTGCAACAAGGCGGCGGGGATAAAAGGGTAACTTGCTGAAGAACAGCGGAGGATAACTGGCTTTATACCTGCCAAGGTTGGATGCGACCAAGCGACGGGGAGAGAGGCATCGAAACCGCGAAGACTTCGACTCAATCTCCGAACGACCGCAGAACCACAACCGGAGCTAATCCACACAAGGCGGGGCAGCCGTACTGGAACCCGCAAAGCACGAACTAGTGGATCCAGAGGAATCTCTTCATAAGTCCTGGAAGAACAAGGGTTTGAGTAAGCACTCGGCAGCTCTGCTGCAATATCACTGGAATTATTAAATCATCAAAAAGTCATTTTCTAGTAGCCTAGAGGTGGTATTTATACTATGAGAAGTCTCTAAGATAGATGCGAACTAAAAAAGCCACGTTGGAAGGTGAAAGGACAACGGACTAGAGCATTCATGACGTGGTCTTCAGTTTCCACGCGTCTTCTGGGCTTCTGTGCAGTCTTCAATATTTTGGTCCATAACTCCTTCAGTTTTGCATGGGATCTTTAGCTTCATGCAGACTTTTGAGCTTCAGAGCAGTCTTCACTAAAACTGGTCGGACGACACGCTGGACAATCCAAACTAGTCGGCATGATAGCATTGGAGACTAGGCTTCAAGATCTCTCTGATCCATCCTTGATGTATCTTTGTCTTTCTTCTTGGAGAACCTGAGTAATAACAACATACATGACTTAGGTAGCTCGAAATTACCATCAATGTTTAATTGAAATTCACAAAGTAGCGTGTGCACCTCTTGTTGTATCTTTTTGGCGCGGCTACGGGTGATTGGTCCAGCAGGGACTTGGAGTGGTGTGTCAGCTGAAGAGGTCGCCGAGGTCGGTGAGGTGGTCGCAGAGGTGATCGGAGTGGTCGGAGAGGTGGTCGGAAAGGTCGCCGAGGTCTCCGACGCTGGCGTGGTCACATCAAAACATCATATCTATATCTATATACCTCTTTCTTCTTCGTTCGTGTTACTGTATGTTAATGAGCTTGCTATAATCTCTCACGTCACGGCATAGACGGGTAGCGGGTTTTGTTTCCACGGATTTTTTTTTCAGCTACGGCAGTTTCCGTCGCGTACAACACCTACCTTTTCGATCTTAAGTAGAAGAGCCACCACGTCACGGCACAGACGGGTAAGTTTCTGTTTACACGTTTTTTTTTTCTTTCAGCTACGATAATTTCCGTCACGCACGACACCCACGGGACCCCACCTTTCCGATCTTAAGTACAAGAGCCAAAGGTTTGCGATTCGCGATTCTTCTTTTTTGTTCGACTTCGATTCGCGATTCTTCTTTTTTGTTCGACTTCGATTCACGGCACAGACGGGTAAGTTTCTGTTTACACGTTTTTTTTTTCTTTCAGCTACGATAATTTCCGTCACGCACGACACCCACGGGACCCCACCTTTCCGATCTTAAGTACAAGAGCCAAAGGTTTGCGATTCGCGATTCTTCTTTTTTGTTCGACTTCGATTCACGATTCTTCAAAGTCACAGACGATGCCATCGTTTTTTCCTCTTTATTTTGAGTTTCACCTTTTTTTACCACCAGAGTCATGAGCCGACGATTTCCATTGTTCAAAGTAATTGTGTTTTTTCCACTTAAAAAAATTAGGAGTACAAAATAAATGTGAAAAAGAAAGTAAAAAAGACAATAAAATAGGCCTTCCAACCATTAGCGCTTCCTCAAAAAAGGTATACACTTCACATCACTGTTGCATTTCTCGTTTGACACAAAACCAGAAATTTTGTTTGCACTTGCTTCGTGATGATGGATCAAATCGTGAACTGAGGTCTTGAGTAGTTTGTGTTGGGGTGATCTCAGCAAGGGTCACGTGGCCGAGTCCTAAGGGAGGCAACCCCACTTACGCGATCTTAATGGGGTCGCAAAACTAAACCCTAGTTGTGACTTCCGTTACATAATGCTTATAAAAAAAGAAGATTCCCTAACCATCTCAACAGATGATGCGAACGAGAAAGGTTAGACACAACAAACCTTAAGCACCTGATTTAACCAAAGAGGGAAGGGCGCCACCCCATGTCTCCTTTGATCTCATCAACAAGGCCATCACCATCACCGGAGATTCCCTAACCATCTCAACAGATGATGCGAACGAGAAAGGTTAGACACAACAAACCTTAAGCACCTGATTTAACCAAAGAGGGAAGGGCGCCACCCCATGTCTCCTTTGATCTCATCAACAAGGCCATCGCCATCACCGGCAGGTTGATCAAGGAGGGAGTCACTGCTGCCAAGAGGACGCTGATGACAACCGTATAACTATGGGATATACCTTCCCTGACTCTCTGCGTCAGGTCCTGCTTCAAGTAGACACGGGTCTCCGCACCTAAAGCATAATGACTTCCTCGTCTACTAATGAAGGTAAACTCAAGAGATCTACTAATCTAAGTCTAAGATTATGTATCCTAATCCTGTTTAAGTTTTAACCCTAAGTAATTTTCTAACCGTTTGTTATCAAGATCGGTATAAATAAATATACTCTTAAGTTATATGCATATACCAGTGCGATCCCTATTGAAGGGTGCAACATGGAAAGTCAAGATAGAACTCTCATCATAATCATCTATGGACAAACTAATCCTGGTCTAACTTGTTGGCAACAAACTCTTGGCTGACTTGTTTGAAAGATCAGAATTACAAAAATTTGTTTCTCCTATTGCAACATACGGGTATATTTGTTACTAATATTAAAGAGGCAAAATTTCTCTCGACTCATTGTTTTCCACCTTCTCCTAACTACCCGGAGAATTTCTTTCGTCCCACTTTTTTTTTTTACTTTCCAAACTGCATTTACATCCTCTGTATGTGACATACTCCCTCTGTCCTGTAATATAGTGTATTATAGTAATTTTAAGATAAATTAAGAAAGAACATAAAAGACGTATGTACACTTATTTTATTTTCTAATCAGACACTTAGACTGTTCGCTTGTTGGTTTCAGCCAGTGCTTATCAGCCAGCCAACAGTGTTTTTCTCTCACAACAAACCAGTATTAGTCGGGCTTATCAGCCCAGAAACCAACCAGCGAACAGGCCGACAATCATCAACATGATTAATGATGATTGGTTGATAAATGAGAAGTATTTTAATGCAAAACTAGTTTTTATCCTAGAATGTATTATATTTAAGAATAATATTTGAATGCTAGAATTCACCGTAGTGTACTACATAATGGGGAGTAGACTCGTTACCCATACGCAGGGCCTTATCCATTCCTCCCCAAGGGCCAAAGGCTATACAGCCGTTGGAAGAAGCCTGCAGGGGAGGGCAGGGGCAGGGGACGGGGCAGCACAGTGCCGCACAGGCACAGCGGGAGCCCGCGCGCGAGGGCGGCATGAGCTCTGACGCGGCGCAACTGGGCCAGCCGGCCAGGTGACCGTCGTCAGTTTCGAGCTCTACTCCACGGCCTCCTCCGTTTTCCCCCACAAACCAATCGCTGGTTCGCTTTCACTCCTCTGCGGCCCACAAGAATCCGCCGCGCCGCAGACATGCGCCCGCTTATCCTAACCGCTCGCTGCTGGCTCCTCCGCGCGCGTGTTCGTGCCATGGCCACGCTTCCCATGGCGCCCCCCGCCACCGCCATCTCCTTCACCACCCGCCCCCTCTACTCCCCTTCTTCGCGTTCTCACCGCCGCCTCCTCGCCCGCTTCTTCTCCGTCGCGCCGGCGTCGGCCGGGCCGAGAGGGCTCCGAGCGGCGGCCTCCGCCGTTGAGGTGGGCGGTGTCAAGATGGCGCGCGAGGGTGAGTGGGGGGCTCTCGGGGCCCCAAGCTGTGATGATGTAAATGTGGGATCTAGGATGGCCGGGGTTTTGAGCAGGGTTTTCTTTGGTTGGATTGCTTCCACTTTTCCTGGGATAGGATTTTGAGGGCGTGCTTGGTAGAGTTCAAATGCGCTATGCTTGGGATACTACTAGTAGGGTTTTGGGAGGTTCCATTCATTCATGATGCATTGGAGATATCATAATGACTAATATGTTGGTGTACTATGAATTGGTAGTTCAAATTCCTGAATCACTGGTTGCGTAATTGCGTTCTTCATTCGATCCTTGGCAGTGGAATTGCTCTGACAGTCATTGTATTGCATTTTAGTGGTGCACTTTGAGACCAAAATGTTTCTACAGTGGCATGTGTGTTTATACTCCAGTCGAATTAATGCAAATTGACTTGAAATGTACCATGCTTTTTGTGCAATTAGTGTGTTCTGATTTTTACTGTCATGAATTGGTCCATTTTGGATGTCCTTGGTAGATGTTGTGAAGGAGGATGACCCGACAAACAATGTGCCAGACACTATCTTCTCGAAGATCAGCCTGCAGCTGCACAGGAGGGATAACCATCCCCTTGGGATTCTGAAGAACACAATTTATAATTACTTTGACAAGAACTTCACTGGACAGTTTGATGACCTTTGCCCCCTTGTTTCTGTCAAGCAGGTATGTGGTACAAATTACATGTAGTAATATTAAATTGATATATGCTATTCTGCTTCTGCTAATAATCAACTGCAGTAGTAGTATACCCTTAACAAGATACCAATAGCTAGTCAGGACACAATGCTATGCAAATTTTGGTATAAGCTCAATACTTTGAATGCTCATTCCTTCCCTCTCGTGGCCTCTTCCCTGATATTAGTGAATGTGCTGTGTGTTTGTTCTTCGGATTCATACCTTCAGGGAAAATGGTATGTGGTAGTTTTTGGCCTCTGGCTGACCTATAAATGTTCCTTGCTGCAGAATTTTGATGATGTCTTGGTCCCTTCTGACCATGTAAGCCGGAGTTAAAATGACACATATTATGTTGATGGTCAAACAGTCTTAAGGTGTCATACCAGTGCTCATCAAGCTGAGCTGCTAAGGGATGGACATACACACTTTCTTGTAACTGGAGATGTTTACCGTAGGGATTCCATTGATTCAACTCACTATCCTGTCTTCCATCAGGTAACTTTATTTTGCCATATTCACTTAAATGTTTCTCGATGAGGTTTGTTTTGATAATCTTTGACGCATGCAGATGGAAGGGTTCCGTGTCTTCTCTCCTGATGAATGGTCAGGTTCTGGCATGGATGGGACAGCATATGCAGCTGCAGAACTCATGAAAATACTGGAAGGCTTGGCAAGATATCTATTTGGTAAATCACTTGTAGCTTGTTCCTTGTCAATTCGGGGGATGATGAAATAGATCCTTGTTTCAGCTAAACTATAGAAAAATGTCATCTGCAGGTGCTGTAGAGATGCGATGGGTTGACACTTACTTCCCATTTACCAACCCATCTTTTGAGCTTGAAATATATTTTCAGGTATATTGGATGTATTCAACTATTTTTGATAGTAACAAGCCCAAGTAAAACATGTTGCACAAGTCACATTGGCATGAATGAGTCTGAATAAATTTCTCGTCTTCTAAGGATGATTGGTTGGAGGTTTTGGGGTGTGGAGTCACTGAGCAGGAAATTTTGAAAAGAAATGGCAGGAGAGACCATGTGGCATGGGCCTTTGGATTGGGCTTGGAGCGCCTTGCAATGGTCCTTTTTGACATTCCAGATATTTGACTCTTCTGGTCGAATGATAAACGGTTCAGGTCCCAGGTACTGCTACTACAAGTTGGCTATCTAACTACTTGGGTAGGTCAATTTGTGTTAGCTTTATAGTGACCCATTTACCATGTTCGAGAAGGCTACAACATCTGCTCAATCATATTTACTTTTCTGCAAAACTCACTCTTTTTTTTTTATCTCAAATATTTTGGGGGTTATATTTTTTTTTGAAATTTAAGGATTGAGAGCTTAAATTGTCAAGTTAAATGAAATATCCCTAACATTAATTTTCAGTGCTAGTAACAACTGTTGTTGGTTAATGTTTAGGAATCATTTGTTCCCTGAGGTAGTTAAAAATATTACAACTGATAAACTTGGTTTTGGCGACACTCAAAGATTGACAATACTAACTTCATTTAATTGTTTAGTTCATACTAATGGACATGCACGTGTAGCATGTGTCATTGAAAAACAAAATCGTACACAACGGAGGAACAACAATAATGGAAACTTTAACACATCAATTCCTATATATATTGTATTAAAAATGTAACTATTCATACAACAATACGTGATGATACAGTACAACCTTAGTTGAATTAATAATTAAATTTGTATTAACTTTTTAGAATCCCAAATCCAATAACTAAAAGAACATAGAACAACACTGAAGACAAGAATCTACATACACTGTAAAGAAGAATTTAGTCCTGAATATCGGAGATTATGAGAACCGACAATCTAGTCAGGCGAAAATTATCATACAAGCTCCAACTGGATCATTACCTTCAATGATAATGTGATTTGACTCAAGAAAGGGAAAGTATCATATAATAAGTACCGAACTGATCGGTGAAGTTTGTACTTATCTATGAATTGCGAGAAAATTGTACCTCATCGATGGTCCAAGCATCAATGAATATTGTATCATACAGATCTTAATTCTGATTATGTTTGTTTCATCAGAACGATGAATAGATTACAGTCTATCAAAAGAATCAAAGAACTAAAACACAGAATTTAGATATGTAGGTAATAAGCACAGGGTTAGCTGCATACCTACATCAGAAATTGAGAAAAACACAGTGTGGTCGTGCAGTTGTAATAATAAGCTAATCAAGCAATTGATAGCTCATACCTATTTTCAAAGGTGCTGTCCAAACTATTCGTTCCCAGTTCACAGCTCTTTTCAATAGCGCCTTCCAAATTCACACCCAATGATTCTGATCTCTTTGCATTGTTGACTAAAACTAAGTTAGTCATGGGTGCCTTGTTCTGATCTTGCTTCTTCCTCTGTTCCTCTGGTTTAAGACCTGAAGTACAGTTCTCAGAAAGGAATGTCATCAAACCAGAATTATCAGCAGCAGTTGGTGCTGGAGAATCCTGTGAAGTAGCTTTTTTTGCAACGATTATGCCTTTTCCTGCCTCTTTTTTTCCTTCTCTTTTTTCGCTCGTGTAAACTGCTGGAGTTGAGAGAAGATACATTTTCATTTTCCCTATATTCTTCTAACTTGTGCAAAGAGCGGTATCCAGGACATGTTCTTTTTTGGTATACTTCCTCCAAGTTCCCTGGCAAATCGGCACTCTTCATCTTGTGATAATTCATATCAGTTCCTTGTGCAGTGCAACTATCAATCGGGAATCTTACATCCGAATCCGATCTCTCAAATATCTTGCTCCTTGAGGGTTCCCCAGCAGCCGGCGTAGCTACACAACTTGGCACGCCGCTGTGGCCGCCGCTACGTACTCTACCTCGCACGTAGATAGCGCCACCACCTTTTGCTTTAGCGATAGCCATGAAATTGGGGCCGACCCGAGGAAGACGAGCACGCCAGAGGTGCTTCGTCGCCCGTTGATGTCTCCTGCCATGTCTGCATCGCTGAACACAGTGAGCTGCAGCCTACTTCCGCCGGTCCTTGGGAAGATGATCCCATGATCCACAGTCCCCTTGACGTAGCGCAGTAGCCGTTTCACCGTAGCCCAGTGATCCTCTCTGGGATCCTCCATGAACCGACTGACGTAGCCCACGGCGAACGCAATGTTCGGCCTCGTGTGGACTAGGTAGCGTAGACCGTCGACGATGCTCCGGTAGAGTGTTGCATCCACCTTCGCCGCGGTACTGGCCTTTGTCAGTTTCAGTCGCTCCTCCATCGGAGTCACGCATGGCTTGCACCCAGCCATGTCGCTCCTCTCCAACAGCTTGGAGGCATACGCGCTCTGACCGAGCGTGAGTTCCTCCTTCCCCTGTCTCACCTCGATGTTGAGGTAGTAGGAGAGTGCGCCGAGATCGCTCATTTGAAAAAGAGTTGCCATCTCGCGCTTGAAGCTGTTGATATCCTCTGTGCGTGCGCCGATGACGATTAAGTCATCCACATACACGCCCACGACGATCTCCTCCTTCCCCCGTCGCCGCGTGTAGAGCGCGTGCTCGGTTGCGCACCTTTGAAACCCAAGTTCGCCCAGTGTGGCGTCAAGCTTGGCGTTCCATGCTCGAGGGGCCTGCCGTAGCCCGTAGAGCGCCTTGCGCAGTCGGAGCACCCTGTGCTCCTCTCCCTTGACGGTGAAACCTGGAGGTTGCCTGACGAAGACCGTTTCCGCCAGCTCGCCGTTGAGGAAGGCTGATTTAACGTCCAAGTGATGGACGCGCCAGTCCTTTGCTGCTGCCAAAGCAAGTAGCAAACGGATCGACTCCATGTGCGCTACTGGCGCAAAGACCTCCTCGAAGTCTATGTCCTCGCGCTGAACAAAGCCTCGGGTGACGAGGCACGCCTTGTGCTTGACAATGGCGTCGAGCTTGTCCCGCTTGACCTTGTACACCCACTTCAGGCTGATCGGGCGGCATCCTTGAGGTGGATCGACGAGCTGCCAAGTCTCGTTTTCCTTGATCGCCTTCATCTCCTCCAGCATCGCCCGTCGCCAGTTTCCATTGCGCTTAGCAAGCGCGAACGTGGGTGGTTCCTCAGCACCGACGAGTAGCAGCTCTGCGTCATTGAGCAGCCCACCCGCCAGACTTGAGGGACCTGTGCCGTCGACGATGTCGTCCAGCCTGCGGAACCGCACCTCCTCACCTTTGTGGAAGGCATCCACGAACTCAGTGATGTTACTTGGAGGTGAGGCGAACTCGATCGGCGTCGATGGAGTTCCCTGTTCCGCCAGAGTGCTTGGCATAGCACCTTGAGTGCTCGGCACCCTGGTTGCAGTGCTCGGCACTACTTCTGGACAGCTCATCATAACTCCTGCAGTGTTCGGCCACACTGTAGTAGTGCCCTGCCTCAGTCTTGGAGTGGTCGACACCACTGTAAGACGTCTTGGCTCCGCCACGGGAGTGCTCGGCACCCGTCCTGGAGTGGTTGCCACTACTGCAGAACCTTCCGGCACCACTCCTGGCGTGCTCGGCATTCCTCTAGAAGTGCTCGGCACTCCTCCCGGAGTGCTCGGCATCCCTCCCGAAGTGCTCGGCACTGCCTCAGGAGTGCTCGGCTCTACCGTCAGAGTGCTCGACACTCCTCCCGGAGTGCTCGGCACCTCTTCCCCAGCGTTTCCACCGCCATGGATGACCAAGTGTTCGATGACGAAGGTGTTGGTGAAGCTACCAGCTTCCTCCGTGCTCGGACTGCTCCAGTCCCAAGCCGCTTCCTTGTCGAACACGACATCGCGCGAGACAAGCACCTTGTCTCCGCGTGGGTCGTAGAACCGGTACGCCTTGGTACCCTCTGCGTAGCCCAGGAACACCATGGGTGTGCTCCTGTCTTCTAGCTTGGTGAGGTTCGGCTTTGTCTTCCTGACGTGGCCGATGCAGCTGAATGTCCGGAGGAAGGACACGCTCAGCTTGCGTCCATACCAAGCTTCAAACGGTGTCTTGCCCGTTAGGGCTTTGGTCGGAGATCAGTTGAGGATGAACACCGCCGTTGTCACTGCCTCACCCCAGAACCTTACCGGCATGCCTTTGGCCTTCATCATGGATCGGGCCATGCCGGCCACCGTCTGGTTTCGTCTCTCCACCACGCCATTCTTTTGTGGCGAGTATGGCGCGGTGTGGTGCTGCCCCACACCCTGATCCACGCAATACGCAACAAACTCCATCAAAGTGAATTCGCCGCCGCGATCAGTTCTCAGCACGCGGAGCTTCTTGCCGCTCTCGGCCTCCGCACGCGTCTTGAACTTCTTGATCGCCGTCGTCGCTTCATCCTTGCTCGTCAGGAGTGCAGCCACATGTAGCGATTGCAATCGTCCACGAGCAGGAGGAAGTACCGCCGACCACCGTTTGTAGCAGGCGTGATCGGCCCACAGAGGTCGCCGTGAACGAGCTCAAGAGCGTCCTTCGCGCGAAACTTGGCCGCCTTTGGGAAAGGTAGCCTCCTCTGCTTCCCGGCCAGGCAGCTGTTACACAGCTCGCCTCCGTGCTTGATGTGTGGTAGCCCTTGGACCATCTTCTCCAGCCGACCAAGCGCGTCGAAGCTAAGATGTTCGAACCGGGAATGCCACATCCACGGTTCCTCAGAGTGCCTTTTCGCCAGGCACATCGGCTGCTCTACCTTCAGGTCGAGTAGGTACAACCGGTTTATGGACCTCTTCACCTTGGCAAGAAGTCGCTGCTCCTGGTCCCTGATCCTAAGGACTCCGTCCTTGATCAGTACCTCGTTACTGCGCTCATCTAGCTGACCAATGCTGATGATGCTAGAACGCAGCTGCGGGATGTAATATACATCCGTTAGCGCGCGGTGCTCCTCGTTCTGGCATCTGAAGATAATGGTGCCGCGCCAGGTGAGACTGAGCCTTCTTTTCCTGCTTGCGGTTGGGGCACTCCCGTGCCCAATGACCCATCTTCCGGCAACGCCGGCAGGCGTTGGGGTCGACCTGTTTCTTCTCCGAAGAAGCCGTACCGCGGCGCTTGCCATCGCCACCGCGGCTGGAGGAGGCTGCCTTCCCAGAGTTCCTTCGAGCAGCCCACTCCTCTTTTGTCAGCAGGAGTTTCCCGCTGTCCTTCGTTGCTGTCGCCTGCTCTAGGCGCTCGT